GGTGAAGATACTATACGCAAGTCAATGAGGATGAAGAAAGGAGTCGTAAGTTTTTGTTACTTCTGAGATCTGACGATTTAACCGGCGACACTGTTCGATAAGTATTCGTAACTTGATTTTTGTGTCACGGGAAGGAAATCTTTCAGTTTTTAGAAGATGTTACGATATAAGTTTTTGTAAGTGGTGCTGCCAAGGCGGGTCCAAGAATTATTCGTAGTTTTGCAAAGTTGTACTTTTGCTGAATTAGTTATTCTTTCCTTTAGAACCGAAGAGCTGCAAATGGGTCGGCTGATACGAGTGACTTGTCTCCATCTTCATTTAGTCGGATAAATGACAGCATGTAAGTTTCGTTATTTAGCGTCACGTTGAAATTCTCATTCGGTTATTCGTACTAGTATATTAGTGTTTGGCTACTGTTGTGATGCTGAAGGAAGAAGATTGACGAGAACATGAAACTTTTATCTGCTTTTGTCCTTTGCTGCAAATGCATTCAGTTGCGGTATAAGTCTAAGTTGATTAGAGTTGATAAAAAAAAGGAAAAGTTGCAGATGAAACTATTAATGATTGCGGATTTTTTAAGAGTAGTTTAGTAACCAACCAGTAACAGGTGATTTTACAGGCGTCGTCCAGCTCGTGACTTCCAGCGTCAAACTCCGGCCAACCTCAAACGTTCTGACGAAATCAGGGTACTGTTTTTGGGATTTAGTCGTGGATTTTTATTACAATATGCATACCTAATTTATTGCTGTTTTGAGTAGGAACTCTGCTGGTAAGAGTAGAGTTCTATTCTCAAAAGTTTCAATAGCAGCAAAATAATAGCAACGCGCTAGCCCCACATCGTTTCATGTTTACACGATATACGTGAAAAGCTTGTTGGTAGTTTGGAACAGCTAAAAATGTTGCAATGATTCTGGATCTGGTGACTTTGACCGTAATCAGTAGCCTGGATGAAGTGTTAAACACTGAACCTGTTCCCATACTGTTCTCATATCTCATTTTAACAAAGTTAGAAGCTTGGTGGTTAAAAGGTAAATTCTGTTCAGAACGAATCATTATCAAAATTTTGCCCGAAATGTTCCTCTGTCTTTGGCTTTCTGTTCGTGTATTGTTTATAGTATCAAGATGATGAAGTAGGTAAAACAAAAACGGGGAATTCTTTATGATAGTTGAATTTAGAAAAGAACGAAAATTGATGTAAGTTTTCACTAAAAGATCTGGTTCTTTGAGGTATGGTTTAAACACTTTGTTAGATTAGAAGCGGGTATTGGACATAAAAAGTCTGTTTTTGCGAAAGGATAGCAAATGGGTGGTACCGGGTAATGTGTCGAGCGCGTTGAAAAAGACGTCTCCTGACAGTTGCTGGCATATATTTGATTCAGAAGTAAGTTTATGGTGTCCTTCGCATCACAGCTTAAAAGGTCTGTTTAGGCCATTTTCAGTTTTTGAATGAGATAACCACAAGAGGGGATTTGTAGACTAAGATTGTCGCTCCTTTTATGAGTGTTTGAAGATTGTCGTTTTAAAAATTGGAAGAAGGGGGAGAAAGAGAGCGAGAAGGCAGTAAATCCTAACAGAGTAGGAGGGACATTAGAGAAGACAGGTAAAGGGAAACAGTAACAACTGCAGGAGAAACTGTTCTACCTTCGGCTGTAACTCCACTACAGTGGTGGGTTTCAGAGCGACAAGACTGTTCCTTTGCAAAGAGGCTGAAGTGATTGATTTCATTTACTGTGAAGCAAAAGTGGCAGCCGTGTAGGATAAGTCTTCGATGGTGTTTGGGTTTGGTTAAATTCAGTTAAATTTTTATTCAATTAAGACACAGTGAACCAAAAACCACAGTTTTTCCTTATGCGGAGGACTTGATATTTTGTCTAGGTGGGTGGAAGATTTTTTACTTGAATAATAACGGTAGGCACAAACAGTTGATAGGCAACTGGAAAGGTTAAGATTGCATCCTCTAGCATAGCTAATCCGTAGTCTTCTTCTATACAGCACGAAAATCTGTGCGAAGGACCACGGAAAGCAACCGCTTAGTAAACATAAAGGAACTGCTACAGCTAATGGTAAGAATGCTTCTTTGATCTGCAGTAAAAAGTTGTCAGCTCGGATTGGAATCTGTTGTTTATTATTCTTAATTACTGAACGGTCCATGTTTTAATCTGTTACACGCAGAAAACTGGAGTTGAAGTCTACTGTTAATCTTGCTATGAGATTACTTCCTCTTGCTGGTTCGCATTCATAACAATGAGCTTAGATTGGTATAGAAATACAAGTAGTGAGAAGACTGTTCTTGTTCTTCAGATAAAAATTTCCTGTTGCCTTTTAGAAGCACACAGTCTTTTAAAAACTTTTGACGTTTATAGTTACTGAGGACATTTTCACGGCTTAAGCTAAAGGAAGTAAATCCAACGTAAAATTTGCATTCGTTATCTTCCTCTTTTTTTTTTTCTTGCAACTTTGGAGAGGATGAATTCTCTCAAAGTCAGAAAGACGGGGTTTCCAAAGTGCGTCGTAAATTTTCCTTGAATCAGTAGTATTCTTGCTAGGAGGTAAATTATTAATACAGTGAGGTGACTGGCTATAACGCTAAGGTTTTAACAATTATATTTTTAGCGTAAGGAGTCCGGGAAGTCTGGATGTTCAACGAGCAGATTTCGTAACGGGCCTAAACCTCCAGTACCATTGAAGACTGCAGTTGTCAGAGCGGTAACTGTTATTTAAAAACTGAAGTTTTTTCAACACTATGATGTCTGTAACCGTACTAGTAGAGGAAATTGAAGATATCGGAAAATAGATTTTCAGACTGTTTCACCAAGCACGACAGTGAGCAGTGTTTATGGAGAGTCTGTGATCGACGCGCAGAAAACCGCATCAGATATTGCGGCTCGAAAAACAGTAAGAAGTCAAGAATACGAGCCTTCTAAGACACGTACAAGTGCTGAAAGTTCATCCATTTCAAGTCGTACGGTGACTAGTAACATTAGTAGTAATAGTACCCCTGAAATCAAAGTAAATGGGACAAGGACAGGTGGTATTAGGTCTGTTACAACCACTGCCGATTCAAAGATTACAAATGAAGTTCTCCCAAAGTCAGCCATTGTTAAAGAACCGCCGCCGATACCACCTCTGCTTTCTCAAGGTCCTCGTGTTGGAGAAAAAGTTGCAAACAACAGTCGCAGTGACCTCCTCGCAGTAAGTTTTCAAGGATATCTACTAATAAAGTCGGCATTTTTCCTTTCTAACTTGCTGTTCAGGTCTCAACCTGTTTATTTCTGATTTTGGCTTAATAAAAAAATCTTTACAAAAACTACCTATAAGTCTTGAAGGAAATTCGGAATGCCGATCGATCTGCTTTGCGGAAAGTGAACGTAAGTCCAGATGTCCGGAAGCCACGTGGACGTTTGGAGGAGGAGAGTGTAATTGACGCAATCGCTCTTATGATTGAACGACGAAGGCAACGAATTGCTTCATCGGATGGTGAGAATTTGAAGGTCTTGTTTTCAAAACAGTAAACATTACTCGAAATGTTTCAGAAGATGACGACGATGAATCCACTGATGATGAAGATTGGGAGTGACTATGCAGACTTCCAAAGGATTTTAGGAGAGCAATTTTATTTGTACAAATCCAGATGTTTTTTGTTAAATTTTTGCCCAGATTTATGTTTTGTAGATACGAAGATTTGCGGGTCATACAATAAATACATTTAAACATTAAGGAACGCTTGTCAAAATTCAAATTCGACTCTAACAATAACCATCTCGTCGTTAATGACACCATTTAATTTGCTAAGGTGGCTGCCAGAGCGATCAGGACAGCTACCAACTCACGCGCCAACAGCCACCACATTGAGCTCAATCTATCATCCCACTACAGTCTTAAAATTTTTAAAGGCACTTCAAGAAAGTGAATGTTGGAAACGCATTTCTCAAAAGTGGAAAAAAGTTTATTGTTGGTTGAATCAATTAAAACAACCGATTAAAATCGGATGAAATCCGTTCAGCGGTCTACCAACCGAAAAATTGAAGTGAGGACTCGTATGAGTTATTTTATTTTATACTAGCGATAATGGACACTATTTACACTTTTCGAAGTATTTTTTTAGTGGGAAGGTAGGAACAGTGGTAGTGAGCGAGCAGGTATTCCAGTCCGAAAAGAAGCAGTAAAACAACCTTCGCGAACAACGACACTTCCCCCAAAAAAAAACTAAGACACCTTAGAACAGCAACATTAGTGAAATTGACATGGAAAAGCAGTAGGCAATTCGCCATAAAGAAATTAACAAAAGCTGTTTACAGATTACCTCAAAATCAACAGCAATCGCATCCAAAGAGTCAATAAAACGTGTAAAACAAGGAAAAAAACCGAGGAATACCCCCAACAAATTCTAAGAGCAATCAAAGCAACTTCTAAAAGAAAATGAACTCCCCAAAGAGATATTTACAAAAACCAGCTCCATTATGAATATCTTCATAGTTTTTCAAAAAATCTAATGCATATGAATACACCATATGTCAGTTTGCCTGGAGCAATTAGTTAGGAAGAGAAAGAGCAGTAACTGCATCGTTTTTCCTGACTAACACTAGAAATCGTAACAACCGTATCGCATTTACTCTTTTCATAAACTGGGCAGTTCACTTCATCGGGAATTCAAAACTTGGTTACCACTGGATCGATTCACCAAAGCAACTGCCTTAAAAGAAGATGGACCCCATCTATGACTGTGGTGCAGCGGCAGAGATCAAGCTATCCCCGCCCTGTGTGCTTGAATGCTGGAAATAATTAAAATAACTGAAGAAAGAAAGAAAAATCGCAGTATCCTTCAGATAGAAATAGTGTGTTACTGCAAAAAAAAAATCCAAACCTGTTGGGCAGAATAAAGGTTTCTTTGATCGGTCTGACCCTCCGTAGGCCCGCCGCGTGAGTTCTGTTCAACTCTAACTACATTGTCCGGACAAGGAACTGACGCAGAGTGTAATACAGGAATACCAGTTGATTGGGTATAGAGTGCAGAAGACGCCACCTAAAATTTCGGGTTTTTAAACTGAAAATCAAAGAACAGCCATATAAAAAGCCAGAAGCTGATCACTGAAAATCAAAAAAATAATCTCGTTCAAAAGTGAAGAAGCTATTACAAACCTGATATGTCAAACCACTAGTATAAGAAGCAGAATTCTCAGGACCCAAACCAAAATTATTGTATTGCGTTACTAAAGAAGGCACCTCTTGAACGTGTTCATAAATGGCAGTGGGATATTCTGCAGGAATCTGGTACGCTTGCGTTAGTTGATGAATGTATGGAGACCCAAAAGTAGCCGCATTCAACGGCAAAGGTCTCGAAGACTCTGACTGGAAATGATAATTCGGACTAGATGCACCAGATTGCACAATGACTTCCTCCTTAAAATATCACAGTTGAGCAAATCAAAATAAACACAATTTGTTAGTCATGCTAACCTCCTAGTCGACCTACTAAACAAGAAAAAGGGAAGTAATGCAGAAAAAGAAGAAAAAAACGCGTTTACCAAACTGTGCTCCTCGGGTAAAACAGAAGGTGTGGGTAAAACAGCAATTTCGTTAGTGAAAGTTGTTGTTTCTTTATTTATTTCATTCCGCTCCCGGATTGTGACATTACTATCGTTAACTTTTGAATGTGCCACCTCTTGGACTTTTTCAGAGGAGTTAGATGTGGTTGCAGGATAGTCCCCTAACACTTTAATTGCATCATCTGTATGTGATGAAGTTTTCGCTGTTTCGGCTTCGTTAGCGGCAGCAACAGATGCACTGCTAGAGGAATGAAAATAGTAATGAGCAATTTACTGTAAAGAAGCAATCTGTTGCAATAAAGGCAAAAATTTTACCACATCGGACTGGGAGGACCAGGCATAACCTCAGCTATGAGTTCGGGAAGAAGAGTACTAACTCGAGTAGTAGTTAAAGTGTATAACTTTGGAATAGAAGAAAAAAGCCCGGTGCTATCCATCACAAGTATCATGTTCTTTAGCGACTCCGGAATTGCTTCTGACAGAAGGTCGCTTCTATCAGTGTGCAAGTATTTGTCCATAACGTCCAAAAGCTTTAGCCAAAGAACTTTAAATGACGGCAAGGAACTCAGAGGACTAAAATATTGCATTATACATTGCCATAAACAGCTGAAAAAAATACAGCAAAAACCAAAAAAATTATTCAGATCCTTTAAAAAATTAATAATTACAAAAATATCAATTGCAGTTTATGTAAACTTACTTTAAATGATTTAAAAGAATTTTCGACACCAGCTGCATTGCTCTTACTCGAGTTTCTTCCATTCCCAGCGGATCCATAGGAGAAATGTTGTCAAGTAACTTATGTAAAAGCGGAAAAAGGATCTCACCAAAACAATTCTCCCAATCTGATGGGTTCATCGTTTGCATCTCAGGAATTAGAAAAGACCTCTAAAATCAGACCGCACGTAAAAAAGCTAATCGAAGAGCAAAAAAAAAAACAATCAGTAACAACTTCCAAAAGCTTTAGAGTTAAACATTATGGCTTACAATAAGATAGTTCAGCGCCTGAGTACGGACTTGTCGACGGCAATCGCAACATAGGCGCGCGGTACACTGGAGTAAGGGACGCCAACAATGTACCCAGAGTGCTGTAGGGCTAGCGTCAATCTAAGAAATGAGTTTCTTAAGAAATTGAAGCGCTAAAAAGCAATCATCAGGCGCTATAAGTACTTTAGAATAACAGATAAAAACAGTGAAAAAGTCTCACTACAATCCCATGTGCAGGTGAAGTCAGAATGAAAATACGGTAAAACAGACGCAGAAAGCACCTTAGCTTTTGAAAACCACTAATAATTTCAAGCTTTTAATTTTGGATTCTATTTGCAATCACGAAAGACCCACTTTTTCACTTCAATCTCTTTGAAAAAAATTACCTCAAATCTGAAATGGCTAGAACTTAGAAAAAGATATTTCTAGCTCCAATAATTTATAATACAAGCTAGAATTTCTCAAAAAAAAACCTATCCTCCGCGCCTAACTGACTGACTAAATTGCCTTCAGTAACTGCTTTGCGGCTCTTCATTTTTCATTATTCCATATCGAGTCCCAAACTACCTCCTAATTGCCAGAATACTCCACATAAAATGAACCCTCTTTTCTCAAAAGTACCCTTACAATCTTTTGAATCACACTTCTATCTATTTTCTTCCAAATTAATCGCACCATGTACCTCCAGACCATTCTAAACTTGAATACAGTCCTTCATAGTAAACAAGTGAATCTTTCCTAGCGAAAAAATATGTACTGCCTCAATTTTGAATTACTGGTTGCAAAGTTCCAAACTATGCTTTTGTTCGCATGTAGAATTTTAATAGAAAGTGCTATTTCTCTACTTTCTTAAGAAGGAAAGCAAAACCTCGCTTGAACCATCCGCCCAGCTCTGATATATACCAGCAGCCTTTGAATGCAGAGTATGACAAAGGTCGAGTGCTTGCAAAGAAATCTAAAAATAAACTGCGCTACAGCAAACAGTAGCTCTAAATCCCGCTGGTACCAAATTTCAAAAGCACTTTTTTAAGTTCAAAAATTACCATAGACCCACTGCATTAAAAGCAGACCTGAAGATATCCAGTACTCAGTTCCTGCTGTTCTGAATTATTAGAGCCTTCTGACCCAAAATCATCATTTTTTGCTGATTTCTTCAAAGACATCTGCATATGAGCTGAAGGTTTAGCTAAAAAAAGTATTTACGAAAAAACCTGATTAATTGTGAAGGTAAATATGCTTTACAGGTTAACATAAGCATCGGCAGTATTCACAGCCTCAAAATAAAGATTATCCAAAAACCCATAAATATTTACCAAGTCTTTTCGACCTTTCGCGAGGAAGACTATGGAATTGACTTTGTACATCCCCACTTAGTGGGCCAGCAGCATATCTATAAAGTGTAGATAAACGAAACGATAAAAAAGAAAATTAAAATAAAGTTTATAAAACCTACTTCCCGCCATCAAGGCTTGCCTCCATAAATGCGCGAAGGCACTGAACTGCAGAGTCGAAATTTTCTGGGGTAATGTGTGCGGCATCACGGATAAGAAAGGCTAACGTTTCGCCAACTTTCAAAAATGCAAGTGGATCGTGTCTGTAATATTCCCATTTAGAAAAAAAACAAAATCAGCTTCAGTAAAAAAAAAAAAAGATAAAAAGACGTTTGAAAGACTAAACAGTAGTGAAGGAAGCTCATAAGTTAAACAGGGGACCTAGCCAAATTAGACCGCAGTACGATAGTCCCGCGATCGAAAACACGTGAGTAAGGTGCAGTTACTTCCCCCTGCTGTACAGTAGAAGCTTGCCTCTGTTGACCATCAGATGCTAAAATGTTTTAATGAAACATAATGCAAGTGGAGAATTTACTGCAAGCAACTCCCTCACCATCTTTATGGTCCAAATAAACCCATTCTGTACTAGTTCCTTTTGTTAATGAGTGCGTGCTATCACCTCCATCAGAAATTACCAAAAATGATGATAACGAACCTAGAATATATGTGTTGAACCATGATAAAAAAAAAACAACAGAACCAGAACGCACATGTTTCTTGTGTTATTTTAGAAAACAAATCCGTTAAAAAAATTACTGACCGTGATTTCTCTGCAAGTCATCCGAAGCATATCCTCTATCTCCACTTACTAAATCAGCACTAACACTAAGAGAAGCCCGTCGTATCATTCTTTCTTCTGAATCGCTGAAAGCTTGCCGTTCTGTAGCACCAACACGCTTATCGTTCACCTGTTAAATAACAAGTTTTTAGATTTGCTACTTAGATGAAGAAACTGGTTTGCCAGTTAAAAAATACGCCACTAACTGATTCTGAATGAAGAAGATGGTCTTCTGCATAAGCTCCAGCTCCGCATGCCTCTAAAAGGGCAAATAAAAGAGCCCAGTGTTCTTTGCGATGAACATTAGCGGCATTCGTCCGCAATAATTCGTGAAGGCCATACGCGATTTGTCTTGAAAACAAGAACATAGCTGGAGGTGGCAACTTCTGAAACGATTGTCCTTAAAAGAACAATTTAAAAGAAGAATAAGAAGTGAATGAAGTAACTTACAAGAAGCATGCTAAGTGACTGTAAAACTTCCTCTGCAATATCGTCCTTCAATCGAAACAAATTACGATTTGCGATCCTTAGCAATCCCACAACTGCTCTTTCAACTACATGTGGATTTTTTCCAAAACTGGTTAAAAGCCACTGTAGATGACGTTTTACAGACGGCCAGATTTGCGACAGCCTATCTTTATTTTCTTGAGCTATGTTTACCGCTAGCTCCAAATATAAAATTAGTCCATCCTCACTCTGTAAGCAAAAACTAAGAATGGTAAAACAAAAAGCAGAGAGAGGCACAAAAAAGTTGAGTTCTTTAATAAAATAAGTGACCTTTTTTATTTTAAACAAATTGTAGGAATTTGTTAAAACCTTATATATAAAATTCAACCAAAAAAATGAGTTTCTCGACCGTGGGAGAGTTCATAGCTCAAAGTCTTGAAATCTAACCTGTTCGTTCAGTTTTTTAGATGGGTGTCCAGTAATGACATCAGGTACTGCAGCAATAGTTGAAGAAGCTTGCAGCAAAGCCGCAATTAGTTCTGTTAAAGCAGAAGACGTCAAATACTTTCCATCCATTATCAACTGTTCTGGGTGACATTCCGCAACAACGTTTTCAGCAGTCTAAAACGTAAGTAGGAATAAATATTGAAAGTTCCCAAAAATACCTAGAAATGTACCTTAATAAGCTGCTGCTGATCAGATAAGGACTTTGCATCTTTTGCTTCGTAACCAGAACCACCAAGCCCAAACCAGCTTAGCAAACCGGAATCGTTACGACTAGTTGCAATTTTTCTAAAAAATAAGCAATCGTATTAGGATCAAGAAATAGATAAATCTAGCAGAATCAAGAAAATTTCAAACTTACGGGACAGATTTCCGCAGAATGCTAACCCAACCTTTAGGATCAACAAAGTCTTCCACCTCTGTTAACGATGGCGGAAGAAGTCGTGCTCGGAACAAGTATAGTATACAGTCAAGAACATTTTTCCATCCCTAATTAGCAATCATATGAAAGCAACACTACACGTGAACAAATTTTCTTATTTGCAGAGCAATGAGTCATAATTGTAATTACTGAGAGGTTTACGATGTATAAAAAAAATAACTCACCTCTCTTAAAATATCTCCATGACTATGGACCAATTGAAACATTGCCTTCGCTGCCATCTGTGCCTTAGGATTTTCAGCAAAACCAACCGCAGCTTGTTCTGCTGATTGCTGAGAAACCTCTACCAACATACCAGAACGCTGCATTTCCAAATTTTGTTCTTCGCCTCCTAAAAATTATCGCATAACTACTTCAAAAAAAGGTAAGCAATAATGGAAAAATAGAAAGACAGTAACCTTCTACTGACGTCATTAATGTTGAGAATTTGCAAAGATGTATAATTAAATTGTCGAAAACATCACTCATCCCATAATGCGCAGCAATCGACGCACATTTTCGATATCCATTTAGAGATTTCTGACAAATGAATGATATTAGCGTCAAACTGTTTAACCACTAGAGTCCAGCATGCTAATCAGGCGCAAAAGCCAAAAGAATGAGACTGATAAAGGTACCTGCAAAATAGAATCTTGTTCTGTTTTATCAAAGACGAAAGAAAGCGCAGCGGTGGCTGGACCCCAAATTATGCCAAACAAATCGTAATCATTCCAACCCGCAGGAGCATGAACAAATTCCCCTTCTTTTTTCTCGCCTCTGCGTAACAAAACCTAAACTGAATTGCCTAATAAACATGGTGTCAAGGACTGCACATATGGAAAACCTGAAAAATGTAAAAAGCAAATTTTGCATTTGAAAATCCACACCTTCCACAAATAGTTTTCTTTAACAAGACCTGTTTGCTCCGCTGGCATCACAATCTCTTCGCTTCTGTAAACTCTCTACACAATATTGGAAGTAAAAATATTATGAAAAAATTGTTTGACTTCAGTAGTGTTGAAGCTTTTTGAATCACCTTACGAAAGGAAAAGCAACCTGATGGAGTTATACATTTGTTCCAACATCTCCGGATCAAAATCTTGTCCTCCATTAGTTCCAGACAAATTCCGCTTGAAACATTCAACTTGCATCGGGGCCTGATTACGTCTAACCTACAAAATGCTTCATACAAATCTTTGTAATACTGGCCACAATTTCGGCACCAATGGTCTACGCAGGAATGGAAGGCGCAAGAAGCTATAACTTCTCTATCGTTTGACAAGGTTACAGTTTGAAAATTTGTTACTGAAGACTACGGTCTGCGTGAGTGAATTTTCTGTCATATTTGTCTCACCATTCGTGAAGTATTGGTCCAAAAGACCAACTGTACAAAAAATTTTAATGTAGAAAAACCCCAAAAATTTGACCAAATTTAGTTCTATTTTGTAGGAGCGTTGAAATGTTGGAATTTTGTGTTTTTTTTTTTTTTTTTTTTTTTTTTTTTTT